AATATAACTATGAAAATAAATATATTAAATAAAATAATGATAAACATAATAATAAATAAAATAAAGAAAATGAATATTACAACGATAACCATGATAGCAGTGAAAATGATGATCATGATTTTCCTAGTAATTATTGGTGACGTTAGTTGATGCAGTCATTTAGTAACGCAAACGGATTATCACTAACAACTTTCTCCTCTAACATCCGAGCTTCTGCGATACTAGCTTCTTATACTAGCTGTTGGTGTTGTTCACAATTAATACGAGAGAGCATTCCTATAGTTGTATACTTAGTGCAAGCAATATGGTCTACTCCAATTAATTCATATAGGTAATATACTCGTACAGCTACTTTTCAGTAGTATGGTGAGAGACGGTTCATACATTGAGTTCTTTCAGTTAATGATTCTGTTTTAGTTTCAATAGCCTTTTCTATATGCCAAAGAACTATTAATATTTTGACTCGATTTCTTAAGCTTTTTGCTCTTCTAAGTTATCGAAGTAAAGATTTCACTTGTTGTAAAGTGGTATCATTATGCTGATAAAAGGAAATAGAATATCTGGATAAAGTGATTCAGTTTGTTGTAAATCTGCTAAAATTTAATTATATAATTCCATTTTTGAGTTTTAGAGAAAAGAGGCAAAGTTCAATCAATATCTACTCTATTTATATAGATTTTTAATAAACTTCCATTTACAAGGGTTTTTAGGACTTTCCCGTTTAATTCCCTAATTTTGTAAGCTCCATTCCCAATTATGTCATGTATATAATACGGTCCTTTCCACTTTGGGTTTAGTTTTCCTGACCACTGCTTATCTAACATTGCTTTGTAATACAAAACTTGATCACTTATTTGGTATGATACAATTTTCTTTAATTTTTCATCATGTCGATCTTTCTGTTTTTGTTATTCTTTTTGCAAATTTTGTTGAACAGTATTATGAATAATTGGAAGCTGATCTAATTGTTTTTCCACATGGTTGAGCAAGAGGGATTCCTTCTCCATTTCTGTACTATCCATTGGTAATTTAGCTTCTCATTCATATATGAGGAAAAAGAGCGTCATTTTTGTAACAGAATGTTCATTTGTACGATAGGCAAAAAGTGCAGGGCAATGAAACAATCCCAATCGCTTTAGTGATTAGTAGCAGTTCGTGTAAGGGCTTCTATTAAAGTTCTATTAAACCTTTTAACTAATCCATTGGTTTGTAGATAGTATGTCATTAACATTCTATGAGGTATTTCAAATTTCTGTAGTAATTCATATAACAGTTAATTATTGAAATGAGTACCACGGTCAGTAAGTATTTCTCTAGAACATCTATATCAACAAAATTATATCTTCATACACAAATTGTACAGTTGTTTTAGCATCATTATACCTTACAGGCTTAGCTTCTGGCCACTTGGTTAAATAGTCCATAGCAATGATTATATACTTATTTCCTTTACTTGAGGCTGGTAAAGGTCTAATATAATCTATTCCAATACGGTGAAAAGGTTGTCCTATAAGGATAGGATGTAAAGGTTCTATTCTTGAGGCTCTTCCTCTTTTCTGACAAGAGTCACATAATTATGCATAGTTCTTGATATCTTCAAATATTTGAGGCTAATAAAAACATTTTCTAATTTTTTCTATTATCTTTTCTTTTGAACTATGAGCAGCAGTTGGATCATTGTGAAACATGTAAAGTACAGGTTTTAGTTCTGTTTTCTTGAGTACTCTAATTGGGTTACTTAGGTTATTTTTGTTAATTTTGTATAATAAATTATGTTTGATAATATAATATTTTAATAGTATAATTAATTTGTGTTGTTGTGTTTGACTAAAAGTAGTGGGGTATATTTGGTTGATTAAATAATTAAATAGTTGATTATATTGTTCTTCTATGATTAAGAATTTAAGCTATTTATCACGCTGTAAATACTTTCGCTTTCACTTAATTCTTTATGTTATATTAATGATTGATTTAATAAGAGAGGAAAAGGGATGCATTATCAATGTCATCAAGGTGAAAGTGTAATTGTGCATGAAAGTTTTCCTGTTGTACTAAGAGAGGTTCTTCCCACCAGAGGTCATTAGTTAGGTATTCTAGTTTCATGTCTGGTTGAATTTTTCCTAAACCATATTCAATGACACAGTCATAGATGATAGTTTCATATAATAAATTTTTCTTGCATGCTTTACAATATATATAAACATGATGTTTTTCAGTATTACATGAAAAAGTGTATTGTAATTCTCCTCTGGTGATGGTTGTCTAGCGATTACTTTAATTTTTATGTTTTCACGGTAGATTTTCTCTAATTCATTATTAGGAGATTTATATCCAATAGCAGTAATTAAGATAGTATTAGAGTATTGTTAAGACAATTCTTCTTTGAACCATTCGTCATTTTCTCCAGATTCAGGAGAAGAAATATGCCATTCTATATCTTCTTTTATACTAATGTTTTTACCTTCATCGTCAGCTATATCTCTTTCAGTAAGATCAATAATAAAACATTCAGCAGTTTCTTCATCATACATGCGAGATAATGCATCAGCATTTGCATTATGTTTTCCTGCTCTATGTTCTATGATAAAATGATGTTGTTGCAATTCCATGATTCATCTAGCACATCTTCCTTTTGGCATTTTTGAAGTTTTTAGCCATTTTAAAGTAGCATAATCAGTTACGATAGTGTTACAGTCAGTTCTTTAAGATGCTTATGAGTGATAAGTAAAGCAATATTTATGGGTGGTAAGCAGAAGGTTTAATTTGATATTTAGATTTAGAAGTGTGTCGGTAAATTAACAGTTTATTTAATAATTATAACAATGGAGTACTGCCTCACTCAGCGCTCTGTACTATACAATTATGTTAGAGGGATTAAACTAAACTATTATATAAAACTATGAGTCAGACACACTG